CTGACATATTTATTTATTGATTTATTGATTTATTTATAGATTTATTGGTTTATTGATTTACATTTCCAGCACTGGTGAATTAGGTGCTCACTGATAGCTGCATAAATTTACATATCAAATGTGGCATTACAGTCCAAAAAACTACTGTTCTATGCGAAATAATAAAACTCAGAAACTGAGACATTATCACATGACATAAAAGGGTCATGTTTACATATACATGAAATAGTCATGTTCAAACAGACAGAAAAGCTGATACAAAAGATGTACACAAGTTAGCATGAATTGGTGGTCAAGACACAAAAACTGAAATGACAATACAGAAAAGTCAATAATTCTCCTTACATTCACTTACATCCCTGATAGTGTCACTGGTATACAAACCATGCATGGCACAGTCCCCATTAGTTATCAAATTTAAGATATAGTTTTGTTTATAGTAATATAGCTGGAATATAACCATGTCAGGAATATGATTTTTTTTAACGTTAAAATGATTGACATTTGTATCTGATCGTCAAACAAGTACTTGTCTGTATTGAGAGATATTACTCTGGAACAGCATTCAAAATCAGTCCTTTTTGAATACATGTATATATATATAACATGATGTATACCGAATATATAAAATTTGAATGTAATCAGTCAAAGCATTTAAGAGATATGGCTCTAGAAGCCCAATCATTAAAACAAAATAGTCGCCAGTCAGCCATTTTGAATCTTATCTGAAAAACAAAATGATGTGCATCAGGAACCTGTAATGTCTGATGTATATACCAATTTTGAACATAATCCATCTGTAAACAGCTGAAAAATGTTTGATTTTGATGATTTTTAGCACAAAAATGGCCTCTTGAATCAGATCACGAAACAAATTGACGTGCATATGTATAATATCATGTATGATGTATGTGTGAAGTTTGATTGTGATTGGTCCAGGCATTTCTAAAATACAGGTTTGGATGCACACACGCACAGACACAGACACAGACGTAGAGGAAATCAAGTAATCAGTGGGTACTCATTTGGCACATACATGTAAATATATAAAATCTGTTTTGTCTAATATCAGTTAACATGTCCCAGTCATACTACTTCATCTTTGATATATGGATCTCCTAAACGTATGTGTGTAATATACGTCATTGCAAGGTGCGTGTTACTTACAGTTTTAGTAAATCCAAATCTGAATTCCTTGATGACTTGCTGCATTTCATACTTTGTACATCATACAATGGTGGTCCTGCCATGTCTAATACATGCTGTGGATTACATAAGACCTGCAAACAATCAATCATGTTGAGTATTTTTCAACCACATCAAACAAATGTATGCAAGTAAGTTGTATTCAAATTTCATTTGCAGCCAATTAAAACTTGTGTTACCCAAGTTCTATTCAAGGTGCTTTCTGCAGCCAATCAAAACTTGTGTTACCCAAGTTCTATTCAAGGAGTCCCTGCAGCCAATCAAAACTTGTGTTACGCAGCATCTCTGCAAGGTGCTTGAAACTATAAATTAGTCCCGATGTTTGAGACCCACTATACACAGTTTCTAGGCAATATCAGAACAATGATCAAACAAAATCTCTTGGAACATAATTACATTAGGTTTATGTGTCAAATGCAAATGTAACAATAACAGATTTGAATTTTTTGTAGAGAAAACAATACTTATGTCTGGATTTCTCAGATTTTTATATAACTTACATATAGTGTGGTGAGAGAACACTTTAAATTATTATATCTGTAAAGGTTTACTCCTCAACATTTGAACATTTTTCACTATTTCTTCCTTCACTATATCTTTGATGATGATGATGATGATGATGATATAAATTTCTTCTAAGCTTTTTTTTCAGAGCAATTTTTATTTTACAGGATTGAGTTTATAATGATTAGAATACATACATCTTTCACTGCTTTGAGTGCTTCATGTCGATGTTGTGGTGGAGGGTACAGTAGAAATCTATGAAATAAAGATGCTAACACCGGTCGTAAAGATCCAACATTCCCAACAATCCGTAATAACTCAACCCCAATAGCATAGATACTCTTCGCTGCGGTACTCATTACAGCTGGTGCAGTTGCCGAGCAACCAGATCCTCGTCCATGGTCTGCCTTACCCCGAGATGAGTCGCTGTCAAAGCTATGTGATGACACAATATTCTTTAAATTCTTTGGGTTTCCAAGAATAGAGATTAGACATGGGCAAAGATTTTGCCTGTGAAAAAACAAAATTATTAGTTTGAGACCTTCATACATGTACACTATACCAGAATATTTTTTTAAGGCCAGACTTTTATTATCCCTTGTTTCGCGAACCTGCCGAATGAACAAGAGCCGAAAATGAAATAAAAATATAATTTTATTTCAGCATAATTTCTCGCGCACGCCGACTTGTAAGCGCAAAAAAATGCTTAAGAAATATTATTTTTATCTTCATTTTTTTACTGCCCACTGAATAACAAATCCAAGTTGCATTTTCGTGGGAGTATCATGATCAAAGTACCGAAGTCTTGCGCAGATGAAAAACAAGGTTATACATGGAATAAAATTTTATTTCATTTCTTCTCTCCGATCAATGATCTCACTCACAAATCAAACATATCTAATGGGAAAAAAAAAATTAATTTTTTTTTTTCGCCCTCTTCAAAAAAATTTCCTTATAAAAACTGGAGAACTAAGGAATAAAAAAAGTCTGGCCTAATGATAATTAAAATAGTTTTTAAAGCGCTACATACAAACATTCAATACATTGGCACAAAAAACTTATTTCGAACATGAGGTGTCGCTATGATTGAAATAAGATTAAAATACATGTATTATATGTGTTCAAAAGTAAGTCAAAAAATGAGATATGAAACACGAACACTCATCACTGAACCTCGATGTTTTTTGACATGATAATAAATTACTCAAACTACCACTATAAAGTACACTCACCAGACTAGATTCAGGAATTTATCATTAAGTTTAAGGTCTGCTGATGAACTGCTCAGGATGGCTAATATAGACTCCAAATACAACACAACAAGTTGCTGACTCTGTGGCCCAGTCAACCTATTGGTAAAATAATTAAACTCATTTATTTATGCTGAAAATGTTACTGATTCTAACAGGAATACTGTGTAGAAAGCTATATGATAGAGTCTAGTCTGTACCAGTAAAATATTATATGTAGATCTGCACAACACATACATGGGCAACAGTGAAGGCTGCTTTGGACTGTAACCAGATTTGCTACTACATGTACATGTAGTATATTTATTAAAATCATTTATTAACAAAGGAATAAGTTTTGAATTGCTATTGATGTTTTAACACATTGATAATTAAAGGTAGCGATTTGGGTACTGACACTGAAGACTTCATATTACCATGGTAACGATCACTGTTCAATGTTGTATATCAATCATTCAATACTGATCATAATCAAACTCAGAATTGACATGGATATTGTCATTTTTATAGCCCGACATTTAATTAACATTATTGGGAATTCGCATTGTATCCATGGTGAAATAGTTCACTGTAAAATACTTTATTTCAGCTTGAATTAATTTTCGTCAAGACTTTTTGGCTGCAGCTTTGTATCCTTTTTTACTGATTTTTGATGAGTTGAATGTAATATATAGAAAAAAAAGTAATGTCATTGTATTTTGCTTATACTGAATAATTCCTTCAGTGAAATTAAATTTCAAGTAAAAATAAAGTATTTTACAGTATTACATTTAGAGACAGAATGGGTTAATACACGTGGCATGTCAGAGTCAGTAACATGGTAAATAAAATAACCAAATTGTATGCAAATCAAATATGATAGATCATAGATGAGTGAAGAACCATATGGTATGATGCATGCTGGGATACATTAGTTATGAGAGTGTTGTTATCATCAAGTAAGATATACATTAAACCGTTATGTTCCTTTCAGAAATATTCATGATTTGATTGCATTCAAGAGTTACTTCAATTCAAGACTTGCAAAATTCAAGAAAATTTCTCTCTCTTGCAATCAAAACAATTTCAGTAATTCGTTTATATAATACAAAAAATTAAAAAGCACCACACAAACACAGTATGTAGTTATTCCCACAGAGCACAGAAAAAGACAATTCATTCAATTCACCATCCACAAAGAATTACCTCAACTCTTTGAACGCCAAGTCAACTTTAGTCGCTAAAATAAATCTGCTGGAATATTTCAGATTTTACAAAAACTTTAATCCAGACATGTAGTCTATGGAAAATGTGTATTTGGTCCAAAATTAACAAAAAATTAAGAACGCTAAAAAATATGCAAAATGTTGTACTGATTTTTTTGGCGGGAAAAATTATGGCGTCCAAAGGTTTTAATTTAGCTGGAATTTATTTTCACTAATTTTGCCATTCTGGAAAAACAAAAATAGATTCCAAGTAAAAGTGAAATATCTGACGAGAGGCGTAGAATCTGATATTGCTAGACCATCACCTGAATGGTGCATGAATTGACCCAAGGCTGTACCTTTCTGATACACCTTTTAGAAAAAAATCGGACGGCAACAAACATAACAAATCTTCAAACTTGTCACTTTTTCTAGAGGACAGAAATCATATGATTATAACAAACAAACATACAACAAACAATAAATCATCATAGTACATGGTGGATTAATACAGTACAACTAATAAACATAAATTACATAATACATGTCGCAACCATCAATCACCACAGAGCCTCCGTGGTTAACACAGTAGATATAAAAATACAAAATGTACAACTTGACATGACTCTTTCATTGTAAGATTACAGAGAAATGTATGTGCACTTGTGTAGCAAGAAATATATTTGTATTAGGTGAATGTCATACCTGAGTCCCAGTTTTGGATTGGTGAAAATGCATGATTTTTGTGCACTTTTAGAATCAAACCATAAAATGGCATGATATGCATCAGTACCCTGGTGTTGTATTTATACATGTATTTCCAGTTAAAAACAAATTCAAGCATGAGACCCATTTTTTACAACAAATATGGCCATCAGTCAGCCATCTTGAATCAGAATATGAAACAAATTCTTGTACATGTACATGAGACATGAAGTCTTATAAATGTACAGTACATTAGAACTTCATTTTTTAAAATAAACTTTTAATCAGACCCAACATTGTGTAATATACAAATATTGTTATACTTGGTAGGCATGAACAAGCTTCATTAAAACACACACATTGAAATTTATTGTTGATTGTGAGTCATTCATGTAATCGGGCATCTGCTGCATGATTTGTTTTCAGTTTGTAAAATGCGATGAGAGCAATGATGTAATTTACTTCATTCAAATTATTCAATGCCGAAATCACCTTTTATCACATTTGGCAAAATAAACCTATAATTTTTTTTTTAAATATTTTTAATAATTTAGATTTAGTTGGGAACTATAGTGTCCTCTCGTCTTAGTAAATTGGGGTTGGATAGCTCCCAAAAATTCTAATGTGTTTTGCCGGAAGTTTTGAAGTAAAATTGGCCGTTAAAGGACTGAAGGAGACAATTTAACACCCACTGGCCGTCAATTACTGAGATACAAAGGGTGACGGCAGCCTGACTGGTGATGTTGACGGGGTATGAAGTTGCGACTTTAAGTATTTCTCTGCCAATCCTCTTTAAAGGTCTATAAAACTTGCTTCAACGAGTAAAATTCATGCGGACATGAATGCTGTGATGTGTTTGAATAAAGAAAACATACTATAAATAAACCCATGTATATATGCACTTTTTAATCAAGCTCAATACATAAACTGCCCTTTCATGAGACCCCTCGGCAAGTAGAATATTATTATTGACTTACTTGTGTGCATTTTCTAATTTCTTGCAAAAATATTCTAAGAGATTTACAACATCTTCACATAGTGCCTGAGTTGGACCACTGCTTGCACCTAGCATGAAATAATCAAACAAGTATAAAATGAAAACCTTCATTCAGAATATAGTATTTGAAATTTGAGAAAATTACTAAGCCATGTTGAGATGCTATAGAATATTCTTGTTCTTACCATTAGTATGGAATTCAGCTACGATATCATCAGCATCATCATTCTGTAAATATGGGTAATAATAATTCTACAGTTATACTACAATGCAGACACTAACTATTACAGCAAATTTAAAGTCACATTCTGGGATTTATAGGTGTTTTGGTATAATTGTATGACGTATTTGATGGTATAAACAGTGTTCCCTTTAAGTTGTACACAACTTACTCAATGACTTTTAACAAAATTATGCAGTCAAATGTCATCATTTGCGCAGCATGTCATACATTGACATCAAAAAAATTAATATTTATTTTGACTTTGCCTGAAGAGAACACTGAATTTGAACACAAATTGTATAAAAAATATTTCAGTATTCAACAAAGATCCAATTTAAAATTTGTTGGCTGCCATTAAAATTTATCGGTGGATTTCCTTGACTTTTACCACAGTTTTATTTCATTCTATTGCTCACAAAATGCAGACAAATAATGTATGGTCATCAAACTATATTTCGCATTCTGAACACACTAACACAGTTTAACTGCAATATGATGCTGTTATTGTTCTTGGAAGCCAAAATAATCACCAAGATTGAGATACTCCGAAAATCATGGAAATTGGAAAATCTAGAAGATTATCTATATCTGAAAATTTACGTACCATTATGATATGAAATATGTCACATAATTGTTCCAAAACACCAATAAATTTGAAAATATCATATTGTATAGCTGTCAAATGCTGTTAGTATGTTTCTTAGACATTACATTGATAGCGTCAAAATATAATTCTTAATCAAATCAATTACGGTAATCAAATTAATAAGTTTAGTCCAAACTACTTTAAAACACTGTTAAATGTCATGCACAAGATTTCCAGTATTTCAGAGTTTCAAATATTGTTAATTTGGTCTTACTTTTCCAATGTAACAGTCTGACCAGTACATTTCACAGTGGTAGACAATAGTAGCATGTAGGAAATATACCACTCTCATTCACTCAGCAATAGATCTTAGATTAAAATGGCCACCATGATTTAGTTCAGAGGAAGAGAGCCACAATAATTGTGTTTGTTTTGTCGTTGCATCTACTGTCCCTGTGATCTATGTAACCATGGTAATTAGAATGTCATTGTGATGTAGAGTGAGAATGGAACACTAGTAGAGAGATGAGTTTCATGGCGCTCTCATACTGAACAAGATCTCTGTGGCCATCTAAGGTTATTGGTCTGTAGTCTAGTAATCTACTGTCCCTGTGATCTACGTAACCATGGTAATTAGAATGTCAATGTGATGTAGAGTGAGAATGGAACACTAGAAGAAAGACATGTTTCACGGCGCTCTCATTCTCAACAAATCTCTGTGGCCATCTAAGGTTATTGCTCCATAGTCTAATATTCTATATACCACTAAGGTACATGTACTTAATCACCACAGACAGAAGTATCAAGATTTCAACATATTGTAGGTATCCAGGTGGTGCATAAAATAACATTATAATGTACGTGTAGGAAAGAGAATAAATTGTAATATTGCAACAGATGTACATGGAAAGATGTGTGAATTGAATGTAATGTGTATGAAATGAATGATGTCTCAGATTCATTTAAAATCATGCAATATATTTAGTATATGATTCTCACAAAGACAAGCACCATGCTAAGAAAAGAAATCATTCACAACATTCACAATAAGATTTTTCATAAAAACTCGTGTAAAACAGTATATATAAAGAATACTAAAGGTATACAATGACAAAGTGATATTTATCTACACCATGCTAGATACATGAGGATCACATGATTACACCATGATAACCGCATGGCTATCACATGATTACACCATGATAACCACATGACTATCACATGGTTACGCCATGATAACCAAATGACTATCACATGGTTATGCCATAACCACATGACTATCACATGATCATACCATGCTACCTATATGATTAAAACAAGACTATCACATGACACCATACAATTAAATTTATAAGAATCACATGACTACAATATGAGAATCTTATGACAACATTATGACCTTTACATGCCAACATTTTAACATAATTACTGTTACACCATGATACCTTACCCTGTGATTTTGTCTGTCTTTAAGATGAAGACTGATAGAGCTCAGCATTTGAGTTAATGTTGCTTTAACAGCAGTATGTGTGCTAGCTTGGTGACTTGCTTTAAATGTAGATGTACAGATCTGTGGGAGTAAGTCAGCAAGCTCACAATCAAAATGGAGGAAGTGTACATGTAAAGTACTGCAAACTTCACTATTAAAAACATGATGACATCACCATGTCATGTGACAGCAGAAAACATGACAAAATACATCAGAGAATCAAGATTTTAGAATCATACTGAACGAATGAAACACAAATGTAATAATTTTTCTTATTAACTTTAGCTCAGTCTATTTGGGCAAACTACTGTGATGTACATGGTAATATTTAGCATCTGATTTTAACAGCAAAGCAATGAAGTCAGCCATCTATTTCTTTATCCAGCAATATCGTACTCAATATATGACAATAATGCACATGCAAGATAAGGGTCAAAGGTCATGTTATACAAGCAGAAATGCCATAACTGGATAAAGAATTAGATTGGTGATGTAACTCTGATGGTTGACATTACCTTGTTCATGCCATCTTGGGAACAAGGGGGCTCAATTGAGGCATGATGGGAAATAGTGGGCTCATTTACATGTAGGTCTGAGGTATAAAACTTGGCAAAGTTTCTGAGTGTTCCAGTCAGTGTTGCCTTGACTTTATTCTTGACATGAACTTTACTGATTTCATACACGTCAGTGCAAAGCTGAAAATAAGTGAGTGAGCAAAACACGGCATGAAAGTTGAAACAATATGACTTCTTGAGAATTTAGTTACATAATGTACCGATAACTCAAATATTCGAAATATCCAACATGTATCAAGTAATTTGGGTATTTCTTTGTATTTACTCGGAATCACAAAAATTACTGTTTGAAATTACTGCCTTCTATGTGCTTGAGACTTTTCAGTTTGGATGGTAAATATTAAAAATTACAAAAATGGTCTGCTTCAATGATAATTTTGAAAATGCAATTTTACTAAATAATATTATTGGATGACATTTCATGCCAAGGCCCTGGCTGATAAGAAAAGATTTAGAATAACAAGTTCAAATTACATGTTTTGTGGTACTTACATGAAATAGTAGTACCGGTATTTTAAAATAATTGTTAATGCATGGCTGGTTACTTTCTGGCAAGACTGGTAAAATTTTAAAGTTACATACCCTGGTATCTGGTACATAATTTTGAGAATTTCACTGCATAACATTAATTTCATTAAAGTATCCATAATTAATGTTAATGTTTTCATCTTTTTCATTTATTGCATTGATTCTGTTATCTCGGTAATTGGTGTCTATGTCAAGTAATTTTGTTGAGCCATCAGTTGTTTCATTAAGTTCTCGCACAGGTACATTACTGGGGGTTTGCAACTACGGTGACATGATACCAAGATCCCATCACATAAGCGTTCCAGCTCAGAAAAATGCGAACGCGCAAGCCCAAGGTAACTAGGATACTGGGATGTCCAGGTGGATCAAAATAGCTGCTCACGATATGATGGATTACGATAACTATATTTTCTGTACATTTTCGATGTATTACATTTTTTCACTATGAATGTGGTAATACATGTTTTATTGTATTATAAACCGCCTATGTCATGTCAGAAGGTCGTAGCATCAGTCTCGAGATGAGACTTGAATGGGATTCTTGGCATGATGAGACTTGAATGGGATCTTGGCATGATGTCACCATAGACTACTATGCGCGTTGCAGACCTCTGGTTCTCGACGATACTGATAGTTTGATTCAGTGAAGCCATATCTTTCATTTTACGATGAATGTTCATGTGTGATCGACTTAAAACAATCAATTTCTGCATCCATACAATTGTAATATAAGTAAACCAGAAAGTCATTACTGTTTAAGTATGGTGATACCATAATGGTTTTCTGTGGCCAAAAAACAAGACAAACATTAAGCATTTTTTTTCACAGAATCACTCATTCACATTGGTATTTCTAGAAATAAATATTTGCCTGGCAATTGTTTCATCATCAGCAATTCATGTGACATGCTCTTATCAGCTAACTCATTGCTTAACCAAAAGTTTACACATCTAGTACTTTCTGAGGGCACAAATTCAGTTTCAGTTTTATTCTTCCCAAAAAAATGAAGCAGTTTTCACTGCATGCAAAGACTGATGCATAATATTAGCAATTTTACAGCCGAGAATTATTCGGACAGTCAGTTAGCAATATATCTTTTCCAATCTAGACTTGATGGCGCCATTGGCACGCCTACAGTTGAGGGTCATTTCATTATCTTGCTAGATGCGGGTAAAACGCTGTTTTCAAAACGACACACGTTGGTTACCATACATTAACAGGTTATATGTTGTATATGCATTTAAAGTGTTATTTTTAATTGTTATAACCATCTGAGTCCACCTGACATAGCGCAATTTACAAAACAACTCCCGAGTGTTGAGTAATCCCAGGTATTAATGAACTCGTCGTTGGCGGGAAGGCTCAAAGTAAAGTTTCTTGGCATTGGACGCGCTGCAGTTTCGCGACAGTTTTGAGCTAAACTAAAAGCTGTTTTTACATTACTGGTGCGTTATGTATCAAATTCAGATTTTATACCACATGCCCATCAATCAAGTGGCGCCGACAAGTCTAGATAGGGCAAAGACCATTTTGCGAACTGACTGTCTGAATAATTTCCAGAACGGCTGTAATACTTGTTTCAAGACAAGAATAGATCAGAGTTTATTCAACATATATTTGATTGGTTTTACCCCTGGTAATTCTTACCTCTGCTATTTTAATAACTGTTTTCGCATTTATCACACATACTTCAGAACAGGTAATCATTAGAAGAAACTGTAAATAAACAGAAGTCACAACAAGATTTATATACAGGTTGTTTTTGATAGAAAATAAATTGTGTTTCCTTTCCTGAACCTCACATTAAAGTTGTATGCAAATACCGGTACATTGAATAGTATTTTTAGCTGGGTCTATGTTGAACACAGATTTGTATTTTTAGGTTTTTAAGAATTGCATCTATCTTGATGTCTGTCACATACCAGGTGTAGTCTAAACTCAACAATGCATTGCCATGTTAAATGCATATGGCTGGGATATTAATGTACATCTATAACACATTCTGCTTTTGTTTTAGAAAATCTGTTGATGTTCAGAAATAACAACTCAACAATGCATTGCCATGTTAAATGCATATGGCTGGGATATTAATATACATCTATAACACATTCTGCTTTTGTTTTAGAAAATCTGTTGATGTTCAGAAATAACAACTCAACAATGCATTGCCATGTTAAATGCATATGGCTAGGATATTAATATACATCTATAACACATTCTGCTTTTGTTTTAGAAAATCTGTTGATGTTCAGAAATAACAACTCAACAATGCATTGCCATGTTAAATGCATATGGCTGGGATATTAATGTACATCTATAACACATTCTGCTTTTGTTTTAGAAAATCTGTTGATGTTCAGAAATATGTCATTTTTGTTTCATTTTTTTCAATAGCTATTGTAAATATTTGACACATACACACTAGCATAACAAACAACAGGTTTTCGAACACCAAACAGAAAAGTATTACACATTTTCACAAAACTGAAAACATGACCAGTCACTGGTAAAAAGTGATGGGACCTGACAATATTGGGTTTACTTAAAGCATTGTGGGGGAAAATGTTATTATTAACAAACATTAAAAATTCCCATCCTGCTTTTTAGTACCACTTAACTATTTTAATCCATAGAATATACATGTATGTACATACACACACAACATCTGACACATGTAGACAAGACCAAACATCTGTTGCCTTTGCCCAATTCAGACAATCTGTAAATAACTACGGTCTGTAGTTATACTATATACATATGAAAAGAATCTCTGGGCATAAACTGAAATGTCAATATTACTAATTTTATTGTATAATGCTAAAACTTAACTAGTGGTAAATAAAACAGGTTATATTTTTATAACAATATTAACAACATTATATTTTTTCTAGCAAATTATATTACACATGTTAGCAGAAGTTCTACTATTGCGACAGACAGCAAGCATTTATACAATCAATTCAATTTATACTATATACTATTGTGTAGAATTGACAACATCAGCATTTTAGTATGCTGTAAGGCAATTTCAGTAGTTTGGATCAAAATCCCTGATAAATTTTTAGAGGATTTGATGATTTATGTGATTCATGAAAACAAAATTTTGCGAAAGTCACTGCCACTCTTTGTCATAGGACCCCACAGATATTTTCACAACTACAAAATTTCATGATTTTCAGTGACTCACAAAACATAAAATGAAAGCAGCTTACTGTAAATAATTACTACTGGTAGACTTAATGCTTGGTAACATCCTTTAAAACTGATATTATTCCATGCAGCTACAATACAATGTTTTTTCAGACTTATTTTGATCAAGATCTGTTGCCAATGAAGAAATCATGTCCTTTTTATCAAATATCTCCCCCAAAATCATAGAAAAATATCTAAAAATTTGAAAATCAAGTCACCAAATCTTGGAAGGAAAAATGTTCTTTTTCAAATATCGAAATATTACAATTATAAAATTACCTTTAAAATATCTAATTGCAAGTCATCATGTAAACTAGGCATCATGGAAATGGTGTTCAATATTTGTGATGTCATCTGATTTTCTTCATTTTCTTCACTTAGGTTTGACTTGAATCTTTCATCTGTAGTTAATTTCTGAAAAGTAACATAATATTCAAATTTCAAACTAATTACAAATACATGTATGCTCTGATGAAAACTTCTGTCTTTAAGTGTAACAATATATGTGTATTTTGAGGAAGGAAATGGTAGAACTGTTAATTTCATTATTTTTTAAATATGAAACTGTTTAGTGATTTTTTCCAAGGTTGATAAAGTACTTTTTCTTCTTCTAATTTTTCTTTGTGCAGACCCTTAACCCCAAACAGTAGGATAATATTAGAACCTGTTAAGCATTTTGATCGTTATCATTTGAAAACACTTATTGTATTATCAAAGTTTTTTTAAATATTGTTTTGAGTACTTTATATATTTGATACATGTACAATTTTTTGCTTTAAACCATGTCTATAAATAGACATGTTGTTCAAACAAATGCGAACGTGATAGAAAACATCCCTTTGTTACTTATTTCTATAATTTTAACTTTCGACCAATTAGGGACATTCCCGCCTAGTGTTCAGTATCCTACCGAGCCCATAAATAGGACATGCAAGTATTTTAGCGCCAGTCTTTACTGCGTTGTTGTGTTTAACGTTTGCTTACATATTACTTTATGGTAAATTCTCCGGTATATCAGTGGGTGTACTTTATTGACGTAATAAACTACTCTACTTGTTTATTACTCACATATACGTTTCTTGTGATTGATTTGTTTGCATAGCCTGGCATTTCTTACTTGGATATAACAAAGTCACGAATCATAACCCCACACTGTTTTTGAATTGAGCAAAATAGCCATAATAGTTACATGTGTATGAGGACACAAATTACCACCAGTGGATAAAATTACAATTACATGTACCAAACAATACAAAATACTCTCTGCTATATTGTGGACCAAATACTTTTTCTTTTAATGACCAAAATGGCTGCCAGTCAACCATATTGCATCTGGTCAACAAAAAAAAGATAACTATCAGTTATTAAATGTAAAACAACTCACCTGTAACCCTCCTAAAGCAAAGCTGGCTATTTTATTATTTTTGGATTCAAAAGCCAACTTTATTGGTTCTAGACAAATCTCTCGAAGTTGAAATGTTGGCACTGTCTTTGCAATATTCTGAGCATCAAGTGTATCTAGAAAACAATAACAGACATATTGATGTGAGATATATTTATGGAAATAAAGGATGATGTATTGTCTATTATTGCAGGACAACAGGGCAAAGACGGGGATGTTCGCGATAACGTTAATCGCGCAATAAATGGCAATAATTATAATACTCTGCACTCTGCAAAAAACAAACATAGCCAAAAGTATTTTAGGGGTATTCCCATGATTAATAATAGGTTATAAACATTTAATGATGGTCAATTTTGATGATGTAAAGATATATCAATGCAATATTCCCCTCTGAAATATCGGCATTTTGACATTGAGCTATGAAATATTAAATTGAAGTTCTACATCAAATCATTTGTTCATTGTGGCAAATGTTAGGTCCGTGTCTTTCAGTAAATACAAAAGATCTCACAATGAAGAGAAAATCACCTATTACATGTACAACATACATGTCTCATTAAGTCTGAAAATATTAATCTTACAATACTTGGTATATGCACACATGTAATTTGTATCCAGTGTTTTATTAATTATGGAGACAGATGGGGATTGACAGAGCTGACTATCTACATCAGTTATACACTACACACAGTACATTTTTTAAAGACAAAGTTTGGGGATGAGAGGTTACTATGACTATTAGTCATGTGTCAACCAGCATGTCCATCAAATACCATTAAAACATTTCAAACTTTTTGATTTGAAATTTGTTATTGATCATGAAACTACATCTGTTGCCAACTCTGTCAATATAAGTCTGAATTAAATGAAATATAATAATTACATTCAATTTGATACAAATATAATCATTTTAAAATGACACGTATAGATTATTAGCTACATGAATTGATGAAATGTGTTAGAAGTACTTAATACCAGAGCTAACTTATTTTCCATATTAAATCATGTTCATTCATGCCCCGCACCCCCATCAACAAGTATTAATATGTTTAATTCAAAATGTATATTACGTTATTTAAATACTGCGTTAAAATAAACATGAAATATGCCTAAATATGATTATACTCAATAAATTCATGTTTATTCTTTTATACTAACATTACATGTACATTTTATTGGTTACTGACCAGTGTTGTAAGATCTCTGCCATGGTGATGGAAAATTTTAAATTAATTTTAACATATATCATAGTACGATGGTTTCACAAAAATAACTTGTGAAATATTTGTCTGTGTGATGAAATTTGTCATTAAAATAGAATCTGTGTAGTTTCTGTGGTCATTTGGGCACTCTGAAATAAATACACGGCATGGATGGTCAGTTTGTTTTATTGCATGGCCATATAAATGTTAAAAAATAAAATAAAACACACTCATTGGTCGGTTTAAATGCAACACACTGGGAATTAATGATGGCCCTCCCTCCTAGATGACCGACAACATACATGTACAATGACAACACTTTCACTAATGAATCAAATACAAGGTTAACACCGGTGCTGAATATTTACTGACATGTACATGTAGGCTAGGAAAAGATATTTTGATCAAGTATTTGCTCGTTTTCAGCAGCAAAAGCTTTAGTAGTTCAATTAATGTAAAAATCAGACGATCAAATGACTATTTTCATTGGTTAACTGAGTTGCGTCATTTTAAAATGAGTAGTTTGGTTATGGAATTAGTAGTAGGATAACTATTTTTTAACCTCTGCTTCACTGTGCATCAATGCTATGCATGACTGTAGGAGACTTCAGCAAGCAGACAAATTCCAGTCTACACATTCATGTGTCAGTAATTTTCATTATAGAATGCATGTAACCATTAATAGTACATGCTGTATCTCTAGTCTGCCTACGTGAATACAGTGGAATCAACATCATCAGTGTTATACAGGTAGTGGATTTCACTGAATATCTGATACCAAAGCACTAATGCAGCATTTGACTCACGTTAAAACAAGCGGTGTCTGGTTAAAAAAAAAAAAAAGGCTGCATATGCTGAAGTATCATTAGACTCCCCTCCATGTTTCTGATTGAACTAGTATTTCACAATTCATTGTAAAACCAATTTTTACTTGTACCTGCTGTGCTTTTACCTCATGTAGATTTATGATATTTGCAAATACTAGTACATGTACTTTGTATGTCAGCTAAAAACTATTAATTCATTCATTCATTGGATTTATATATATAGTAGTAGATTTTAGATATCTAACTTGTTATGTTTATTTTAACACCTTTATTGCATTTCATAAACCAAAATAGATATGTAATTCATTCTATAAGGTTGTAATAAAGAATTATCTTATCTTATCTTATCTTATCTTATATATAATCATGGAATTGTAAATAGGGCTGTCAATATCATCATGATTATATCTTGGCTATGGTATGGTTATCAAAATCAAAGAACAACTGGGAATAAACTGGAACTTTAACACTTTATTCAAAAAATTCACCCTTACAACTACTTGTACTCGATTGGATGAGTCTCGAATGCCACAATTTAAATTGTGAAAACGAAATTCTCATCCAATGTCTTTTCAATACAGAGGGCTCAAAAGTAATTTTTTTTTTTCAATGGAGCCATTAATGTTTTGGTCAATTGTGAAAACATAGAAATAACCAACTCACTTTTGAGAAGAACAAACCATAATCTATTGAATAGAGATATTTTTAATTTTATGTGAATTTCTAGTACTTCAATTCAGCTACCAATTTTGCAGTCCTTTAGGTGAATGTCAAATATGGGAGCACACACTAGAAGAAAATAAGGTGTATGCCATAGCAATCTGAAAATCAAGATGAAAGTGAGGACTGTTGCTAAACAAAGTGACCTGGTGTCATTACTTGAAATTGGAACACACTAATTTTTAATGCAGACCTAGTACCTTTCTGGCTGGGGTGGTGACATTTGAAAGACATCTGCTCTGGTGTCTGGTGAGCCTTGTCTGGTACCCGGTACACAATTTTAATAAATTTCCAATACTGGGAAGTATACAGGCATGTAAGCTAAACACAAATTTAAACCACTAATGAACTGCCACATGGACAAGTCAACAAAACATGTCTTTATAGTTGGTATGAATATACCCCCATATGCTGAGTTCTATTTTCATACAAAGAACATCTGGGTTTGCTCACACACATATTGATTTTCAAATTAATATAAAATAAGAAAGAACACCACCTGTACACACTGCGAAGAGTAAATTACTAAGAACATTAGACAAATATACAAATCTGGTTCTTGTAATAAGTAAATTTGAACAAATAGTGTGGTGATGCAGATTATATCTTGCTTGATACGCTTGTGAATTTATAATGTTCTGTAAGCTAGTCTGGTCTATGGTAGGTAGTTTAGGCTGAAAAAAAAAATATCTCTGTTTCTCGCTTCCGCACGCATCATTTTCATCATTTTTTTCCTTTCAAAGCATTCCAAAATGTGCTTGTACTTGCACTTGTCTCAAATTTTCCCCCATTTTAGTTCAGTATTCAAAATCGCCTCATTTTAAAATTTACATGAAACGAGAAACAGAGAATTTTTGTTTCCTGGCCTTATGAAGATTGCTCCAAATTTCTACTTGACCTTAACTTAACCCCTTAAAAGCATTCATTTTTCCACAGATGTTATAGTGCAATGTTGTTCAAATTTGTATGTAATGTTCCAAATTTATTTGCTAATTGACATAATGTAACAGGTTTTCAGATCAACATTTTTGAAAAAAATGGAAGAAATTATGTGGAATTATCTGGTAAAAAGAAAAGTGTTAAGCAGGAAGGTACAGAACCTTCACAGAGCTGGTCGCCATTAGAATATGCAAATCCTGCATTGCAGGTGTAACACAAGGGTCGATTTTATATTTCGGCATTTGGAAGACAGAAGATGCATTGTAAAACCGATACTCAATCATCAATTATGACTCCTATCCCAAGAAGCAATATGGCCTGATCAACCCATGGCAGTTCAAGAGACACTGAATTTTGTAAATAGTGTATTTGAGTTTTACAGGTCATTTTGTAATTTGTGTAGTACAACATACCGGTAAGATGTGTAATTGTTAAGTGTAACGACTATAGTGTGAAATTAAGATATACCAACAAATTAGATGCAATATGGATGAGAAAACGCATTTTTATTTTTGTTCTTTGATACAGCATAACACAATTTGGAATATGATTTTATTTTATCATAAGCAGAACACAATTGTATTCATTTGGTGGAAAGTTAAAATGTTGATACACTGTTACGAATTGTCACAATCAGTGCAACTATGTATTAGAGCTTTCACTGTTTCCTCACACAAATACAAAGTTACACATTACAAAAACAGTGTTTTCTCATTTCATGACAATTCATGGACATACAGTGCCAAACAACAAAATTAATAATTGTTCATTTCATACTACAACTTTAAACAAATGATTGCAAAGATTGTAGTCACTAAAATAAATAAATACAAATATTTATCCCTCAACTATAATCATTCCCAGTATCAAAATATACTAAAAATTTAGTTTTCCCAGTCACATAGCAACTATCAGTTTAAGGACAAATGTTTCTCTATGTGTAGTTTCTTGATTAAAATAGACTTCTAGTTACAACAGATGTTCATCTAAATAAGCAGGTACAATAATGACATAGATAAATAATGTACAATTAATAAAATCATTACTCCAGTAATAACCTTATTAGCCAAAGTGTTTAAGCCTTGCCTAATAATGAAACAAATTTGGAACCCCAAAAAAGAACATTAAGGCAGGGTTTGCGCTAGTGTCTCGGCAAGACTAGGTCTCTTTTCAATAATTGGAGTCCGGGAAGCAAAATATGGGCTTAACGCAATCCCTGATTAAGGTACACTATATACTAATTACTATACTGATATATCAAATATATCATCAAATTTTGATGCAAATATCTTTTTCAAATATTGCCAAAAACATAATACATCATCATAATTCAAGTTATATATTGAATATATCATCTAATGTTGACAAAAATATCATCCTCATATGTTGATGAAAATCCAATGGATCATTTTTTTAAGTTACCCG